CTGAGTCGATTCTACAGCCGTGCCAAGCTGTGTCCACTGGCCACACAGACTCAACTGTCACGACTCCGCCAGTTGAGGTCGTGGCCGAAGCAGCCGCACCACGACCGCGAGGCCGTCCTCGAGGTCGGTCCACAAGGCCAAATGTTCGCACCCATGTCATGGCCACTAGGAGTCAGTCTCAAGTTCCTCCTACAGCTTTAACTACACATGTTTGTCCCACTAAGCCAACATTAGGGATGGCAATTGAACTCGTCCCCGACGGGGAAAATCGACCCCCGCCCCGACGGGGGCGGGTTCGGGGATTTTTTTCGGGGATCGGGGGCAGGGATGGGGGAAGTTTCCCAATCCCCGTCGGGGACGGGGACGGGGACGGGGGTGGCATTCCTCGCCCCGTCCCCGTCCCCGATCCCCGATCCCCGCCCCGTCCCCGAATACCCGACCAAAAATAGACTTAAGTATTTATATATAATATAATCTATAATATTAAAAAATTAAAAATATTAAAAGTGTTGATTAAAAGTTAAAAGTTAAAAATACCGCAGACTTCTACAGTTCTACAACTCCTCTGACACTCTTCCACGTTCCAACTTCCACGGACTGTTCTACTTCTACAACTCCTCTCGCCATTTGCCATTATACAGAATTACAGAGCTCGCAATCGCCATTCGCAATCAAAATCGCCATTCGCAATCAAAATCGCCATTCACTTCACAATCACAATCGCCATTCGCAATCGCCATTCGCCATTCGCATCCCTATATACAGTCGCTCGGGACGCCTCCTCGCCTCATCGCCGCCTTGCCGGACGATTTTGTAGAAGGTCAGATTCCGCACGATTTGATGTTTTTCTTATTCATGAAACTAAAATCCCTCATTATTGGCTTTGTTTGGTAGAGCTTATTTTAAAGTTTATAGCTTATTTGATATTTAATTTGTATGCTGACTAAATTAATTTACTTCGTAGAAATTATATACATAGTAAAGGTTTAATATAATTTGGGGTACTATATACGGAAGTTCTTTAATTCTTTGCATTGTTTCCTTGATGAACAAAGAAGACATCAGCATGGAATTGGTGTACACCCTCTGCAGGTCATTGCATATATACTAACCACTGCACAATGATAAGAACTTTATGAAAGAAATTAAGTGTTAAACTGAGAATATTAAAACCCTTATCTAATGTTCAAGTTTTAAATTGGTTGAAAACACCACTTACAAGTCGACTTCTATGGAATGATCACCTTCAGATAATTTTGATTTCTCACGTAGTCATATTAATTAGTAAACAGCATCAGAAAAAGATTAATAACAAGAAATCTAACAATATCACTAGTCTAAAAAAATTGATTATATATTAACTTTTAACAGAACTACAATTAAAGCCATAAGAAAAAGCAGAGCAGCAGAAAAGTGAGGCAGTTTGCAAGATGGAGAAATCTAAATACGGTTGGAAATGGAGTGTTTAATTTTTTAGGTAGTCTAAGTGTTTTTGTGTGAATAAAATTTAATTAGAGTGTTGGAGTAAGATTTAGAGTCCTTAAGTCATACTCCTTAAGCAACTTTATTGGTTTGATAATGTTTATTCATATTTCAGAAACAGTTTAATTAGTGTAGTTTAATTAATTACCAGGACTATGTGGTCTAATGGTATCCGGGTTGGACTTCCATTTGGAAGATTATGTGTTCGAGCCTCAGTGGAGGCGTTATTGGTTCTTTGTGTTTTAGTAGGTTGAGAAAGTATATGAACAGATACTACAATGTAATAGAGCCAGTAACTTTCAAATAAAAAAGTGTAGTTTAATTAATTTAATCTTTTAATTAGTTTATTCTTTAGTTTAATCTTTTCATTAGTTTAATTAATTTCTTTCTTCTATTGTTCATATATTATTACTTATTAGAATGGAAGGTGATGATTCTTACATAGGCGCCTGTGACTCATTTACTCCAACGCCTATGAGTTCACCGGTAGAGTACCCTAATTCATCTCCCGTGGATTCACCTAGTCCTAGTGCTAGGAATGAAGAAGTAGAAATTCAAGAAACTCGAACAACTACCCAAACTGTTGAAGGTGTGCTTGTATATTTTTGTAGTTATTAAATTTACTTTTTGTTTATGTTATTATTTTGATTTTGCACTTGTTTATTTATTTATTTATTTTGTTTGTTTTAACCGTTGAAGGTGAGCCTAAAGTTGGTGAGAAAAGATTAAGGTCGATTGTTTGGGATCATTTTACAAAGATTAAAGTTGATGGCATATTCAAGGCAGAATGTAATTATTGTAAGAAGCTACTTGGGGGAGAGAGTAAAAATGGTACAAAACATTTGCATGATCATATCAAGATTTGTAGAATGAGGCCTCACCAACACCTTAGGCAACAAACACTGACCTTAAATAAAGACAAGGATGGGAAATTGAATGTAAACAGTTACACATTTGATCCCATAGCCACTAGATAGGCACTTGCTCGTATGATTGTTAAGCATGAGTATTCACTTAATATGATTGAGCATTCCGGTTTTAGGGAGTTCATGGGTTTTGCTCAACCTTTGATGAAGCTGCCTAGTTGGAACACAATTAGAGCGGATATTATAAAGATTTATGAGGCTCAAAAGACCACACTTATTGAGTCTATGAATAGAAGCTCTAGTAGGGTTGCATTGACTACAAATATGTGGACTGCAGATTATCAGAAGAAGGGATACATGGCTATTACAACACATTTTGTCGATTACAATTGGAGTCTACATAATGTGGTTTTGAGGCATGTGCACTTTATGAAATTATTTATCTTGCAATTTTTGTATACAAGTTGATTACTTATTGTGCAATTTGTGAAAGTATTTATTGTGTATTTATGTTAGATTTATTGTGTGTTTATGTTAGGTTTATTTTTGTCGAGCCTCCACATACATCATTGACTCTTTCACAAGAAATGTTGAAATGTATTTTGGATTGGAATCTTGAGAGAAAGTTGTCTGCAATAACCGTTGATAATTGTTCAACTAATGATGCTTTAATTAGGCATGTTTTAGCTTAACCGTAAACATCTTATATTTGGTGGGAAATTTTTTCATGTGCGTTGTTGTGCTCATATCTTGAATTTGATAGTGCAAGATGGGTTAAAAGTTATGGAGGATGGATTGGAAAGAGTTGGAGATAGTGTTACTTTTTGGTTATCTTCACCAAAAAGACAAAAACTCTTTAAAGAAAGTGCAACACATTTAGGTATAGAAAACTCAAAACAGTTAGTTAGCGATTGTAAGACTCGATGGAATTCTACTTATTTGATGCTTTCTGTTGCATTGCAATACAAAGATGTTTTTTACCATTTGGGACAACAAGAGTCTTCATTTCTTTGTGCACCATCGGAACAAGATTGGGAGTTAGCTGAGAACATTTGTGATAAACTGAAAGTGTTTTATAAAGCATCAAATGCATTTTCTGGTAGAAAATATCCAACTTCCAATGTTTTTTTTCATATTGATGTCTGAGATTAAGGTTAATTTGAGCAATTGGGTTGAGTCAACTGATTTGGTGATAACAAATATGGCTAAGAGAATGAGTGCAAAGTTTGATAAATACTGGGAAGAGGTGCATGGAATTCTAGCTGTAGCTAATGTTCTTGATCCAAGATATAAGTTAGGAGTTGTTCAATTCTTCTTTCAAACATTTTATGGAGATAAAGTTGCATCGAAAATTGAGAGGGTTAAGACATATTTATATGATTTGTGCCGTGAATATGAGTGTTTTTCAACATCAACACCTGCAAGTAAACGCGTCCAAGCGGATGAGACCATGACTCAAGGTGACCCAGTTAGGGATAAGTTGAAAAACTTTATGGAGGTTTCTCACACAGGTGCGAGTGAGACATCGGAGTTGGATTTGTATTTAGAGACTAAGAGGTCACCATTTGATGATGATTTGGATGTTTTATCATGGTGGCAAGTTGAAGGGAAGAAATATCCAACTTTGAGTAAGGTTGCCAAGGATCTATTAGCTATTCCAGTTTATACCGTTGCTTCAGAATCCGCTTTCAGTACTAGTGGTAGATTGGTGTCACCTCATCGTAGTAGACTCCATCCAAATATTGTGGAGGCATTAATGTGTTCTCAAAGTTGGTTGCTTGAAAGTAAGAAATTTTATTTAAACAAATTATTTTTAATTGATTATTCATTACTTTACGTCTTTACCATACTAAAATAATATAAGTGATAGCACTGTGGAGGATTATGAAATTAATGAAGATTTACTCCTTCCTCATCAATTAGAAGCAAATTCTTAGAGGTATTTATTAAATTATACTGTTTAAAAGTTTAACTAAATATATATATCATTATAATTATATTATTCAAATTCTTATTATTTTTCAGGTTATTGAAGAAGTGTTGAGCAGTGAGGACTGAGGACCACTACGACACTATTATTATTTTAGTAATTTGAAGTTTATTTTGTTTTGTTATGTACTAATGTACTTATGTAATAAGTAATATGTCTAGACTTTGGACTTTGGAGGAGTTTGAAACAATTTGAAGTGTTTAAACATTTTATGATTATTATTTATGTTTGAAAATTGAAAGTTGGAACTTTGAAAATTGTAAGTTGGATATTTGTAGGAATTTTAGAGTTTGAATATTTTAATTTTATTAATCTTTGTATTTTGAATTTGGACATTGTTTAAGGATTAACTATATAAATTTTTGATAATATTAGTCTTTATTTTTTTATTAAAAAAAATTATCTTTTTTTAAAGTAGGCATAAATAAAGGACCCCATTCCCCGCCCCCGCCCCGCCCCGTTGCCATCCCTCCCCAACATGTTATACGCAGGCAGTTAAGTATCATGAGTGGCATGGCGCAATGGATCAAGAGTTCAATGCTCTACTACAGAATCAAACCTGGTGCCTTGTTCCTTCCAGGTCAAACATGAATGTTATTGGGTGTAAGTAGGTCTTTCGCACAAAATGAAAGGCTAATGGCTCAATTGAAAGACATAAGGCAATGTTAGTAGCAAAAGGGTTCAATCAGGTGCCTGGTCAGGATTTCTTTGAAACATTCAGCCCAGTGGTGAAACCCACTACAGCCATGTTACTTTTATCTTTGGCTATATCCTCTGGTTGGGTTATTAGGAAGCTTGATATTCATAATGCTTTCTTGAATGGAAATCTGACTGAAACTGTTTACATGCGTCAACCTGCTGGATATATTGATGCTCAATTCCCTAATCATGTTTGCCTGCTAAAACGTTCTTTGTATGGATTGAAACAAGATCCTAGGGCTTGGTTTAATCGCCTACACACGTTTTTACTATCGGTTGGGTTTAAGGCATAAAAAATAGATGCCTCTCTATTTCATTTCTCGTAAGACTTTGCATATGTATTTATTGGTTTATGTTGATGATATACTTGTGATGGGGAGTGATCAAAGTTTGGTGAACAATTTGCTGCCTAAACTATCTACTGCATTTAAGATAAGGGATCTGGGTGAACATGGTCTCTTTCTTGGGATTGAAACGATTAAATGTGATGATGGAATTATGCTTTCTCAGAAAAGGTACATGACGATATTCTGAAACGAGCAGGTATGGCAGAATGCAAGCCTCTAGCTACTCCCTTTCCAGTCTCAAAATCTGTCCCTTTTAATGCAGATTTGTATGATGATTATACACAATACAGAAGTCTAGCTGGGGTGCAACAGTACCTCACGATTACTAGACCTGACTTGTCTTTTGCAGTAAATCAATTTTGTCAACACATGCATGCTCTTACAGCATCACATTGGGAGCAACTAAAACGTGCATTAAGGTACGTTAAAGGGACAATTGATTTCGGTTTGCGTATAAGAAATTCAGTGTCAATAGAACTTCATGCTTTTTCTGATTCTGATTGGGTTGGTTGTCCTAAAGACCGTAAATCTACTAGTAGTTATGCTGTGTTTCTCGAATCTAATCTTGTGTCTTGGGTATGTAAGAAACAGAGAACTGTTGCTAGATCTTCTACTGAGGTAGAATATAAAACTCTAGCAGATGTTTGTGCTGAAGTAATATGCATTCTTTCGCTGTTACGTGAGATCAATGTGGCAGGTATTCATGTTCCTAAGTTATGGTGTGACAATCTTGGTGCTGCATGTATGTGTGCAAATCCTATCTTTCATACTCGCACCTAGCACATAGAGATTGATTATCACTTTGTTAGAGATAGAGTTCTTTCTGGAGATATTCAAGTTAACTTTATTTCAACCAAAGATCAACTTACTGGCATCTTTATTAAAGCTTTACCTAGCCCTAGATTTTCTTTTCTCAGAGACAAGCTACAGATAACTAGCTTACCCAGTGCTTGAGGGGGAGTATTAGGTAGGATTCTATGTATTTGAGTTACATTATGACTCCCTATCCTAGTCTCCCTGTGATTCCCTCACTATATATATATATATATATATATATATATATATATATATATATATATATATATATATATATTCTAGTATCTTGTATCTTTAAAACTAGCTAGTTTATTCAATACAATTCATTCAGTTCTTAACTTCTCATCATCCCACCTAAAATTAACAATTTCCTTCAAACTTTTTTTTTTTTTTTGAATGCTACTGACTATATTACATTTCCTTCTAACATTAGTTACAAGGTTTGTCATTTTATATTTGTATTAATTTAAAATAGAAAGTGAGATAGATAGGAAGGGTAAATGTTTCCTTCTATTGATCGATGAGTGGATATAGGAAAATATTCATCCTGCTCTCAACTTTTACTCCCTCCCACCAAATTTTGATGTTGACATTTTCATTGGGACCACATGATGAAGATAAGTAATCACTAATTGCCACATAAAGGAGTAAAAGTGATGGAGTAAAAAGGGATCGAAGTACATGTAGTAGAACTCGTGGATATATATTCAAGCAAGAGGTAGAGTGTGCAAGATCAATCAAATCAATTGGCTATATGTAATTTGCATCTTGATGGTTACCATACCATGTTCCACAAGAATGACTTGAAGAAACCTCATCATTAAGAACCCTACTTGATGAACATGAAGAAACACAAGAATCTCCGTCATCACTACAGCTACTACTACTCAACCCATCTCTCATCATCAAGTTGTAGCGCTCAAATAGCTGCTGCTCTGCATTATCAACAATATTCTCACCCTCATTAATACTAATGTTAATGTTATCCCCACAAACTTCTGCACTTTCCTCTCCTGCTTTGCCGTTGACTCTTTTCTTTTGAAATACATGGCATATTACCAGATTTCCAATCTGCTGCATTAAGGAACCCTATACACAAAAACAAACATGGATATGATGACGTTGATGAAGATCAGATTGTCAACTTCGCACTAGTTAAACCGTACCCTAACAAGGCCAAAGGCGAAAGGATCAAGCTGTTCAAAAATTTTCACCAAAATTATTTAATTAATATATGATTTATATTTGATTGGTAATATATGATTTATATTTGATTAATAAGTAAGTTTCTTTTAAATATGGGTGGAATCACTCAATTCAGTAACTTAGGAATAAAAAAGAGTTGTCTTTTTTACTCCTACATTTTTAATCACTTAAATTTATTCAGGAAAAATCCTAATCAGGAGGAATCTTAGGTGAGGTGTCCCTATGTATAAAAGGTTTTAGAAAAAGGTATTTATTCTTTTATTTTGGAGTGTTATTATTATTATTTGTATATAAATTTCAACTAATTCTTTTGTTAGACCACGAAATGTTCTGAATAGGCCTTAATTGTATATAGAAAGCACATTTAAGCACGTATCATACTCATACTAATTCTCATTCATACCGAGCTAATCCAATTAAGTGGAAAATTACTGGCTATATTAATTTTTTCATACGAGAGGGGATTTAAACTTTCGACCTCTCTTAAGGGATGAGATATAAATTTTAACTGGTAAGTTAAAATAAAGCTGCCCTCTAGAAAGATTGATTATGCTAATTAATACAAGCAATAACTTGTGTAATCATTATTGTATGGACCATACCCTACACAGTTGTATGGACCATAAATAAAAAATTATATTTTTAATATACAAAAAGTATGATATTTTTTCAAAATGCATTATTTGAAGGTATAGTATTTAAATACTAAAAGTATATTATTCTGTATAATATCAAATAATGTACATTCAATATATAAATTATATACTTGTAATATATTAAAAATGTAACTTGTATTCATAATCCATATAGTTGTGAAACATATCTATAGAAAAATTTGCCTAACTTGTGACTTAGCTTGTGAGTAGTCTACTAAAACCACCCTTTTAAGTTTCTTAAAGGTGGGTAGTCTACAACCACCCTCGTTGACCAAAATATAATTTCGAAATTAAAAACATTTCTTTTAATATTTTAATTTTAAGATTTATTTTTTAACAATAAATGTTATATAGTATGATATATATCATACTTTCAAGAAATAATTATAATTATTAAAAAAAATACAATCTTAAATAATAATAATAATAATAATAATAATAATAATAATAATAATAATAATAATAAATAAATAAATATTAACGATGACTTTTTTTAAAAAAAATAAAATAATAATATTTCTTTTCACTATCACAACTCTTTTGAGTTAATACTATCTAGAGTCCTACGAGTATAGTAAATTTAAAAGTGTATAGTCTTTCAAATTCACATTCGTATTCTTTCAACTTTCAAATTGTTATCATCTATAGTCTAAGTTAATCATTCATTGTCCTTCAATTATCAAATTTTAACCACTCATGGTTCTTCAAGGAGGACTGTGGCTTATTAAATTTTGAAAGTTGAAAGACCATGAGTGGTTAACTACGGATGATAACAATTTGAAAGTCGAATATCATGATGGTCAATTTGAAAATTTAGGACTAAAGTGGCAAAACTACTATACTCAGAGAGTTCTATATGGAATTAAATCCAACTCTTTTCTATTAATAGTAATCTCAATATTTTTACTACGTATTTGGTACTGCAATATCTCGGATGGATACTCTCATACCTGGGAATAATCTTTCTTGGCGTGGAGGAAGTAGGGCGGAAGCGGTGGGTTTCCGGCGGGGGAAATGGCAACGAGGCGATACTCGTGCATAATCCAATTGGTTTTGGAGCCATGTGGAGGCTTTCCATAGTAGAACACCAATGTCTTCTTCATCCCCATAATCATTGGGATTGAACTACTCTTACCAGGACATGTAATATGCTTCTCTTCACTACTACTTGGCTTCCAATATCCATTGGAACTCACTCTGCTAGTCTGGTCCCCATTTGGGTACTTTGTAGCTTCCTTGCTGCTGAAGAAATACCTGTCTTCTTGTTCCATATCTCCTGCAATTTAATTTCACATTAATCAAAATATGTTAGGATCAAGCGCTTAAAACTACGTTAAAAGGTATAACTCGATGTAACTTTATTTTTTTATACGGTTACATTCTCGAGAAATAGGGTGTTGGGTTCGGCCCTTCAAGCCTCCGCCCAATTGACCATTCACTAGCCTCAACTCAATAATTCCCCTACAGTGCTGGGTTTGACCTTTTAGAGACCTCTGCCCAACAAAATAGGGCCATGTTTGGTAAATGGCTGTTAGCTGATTGGGTTAGAGGAGCTGTAGAGAGGTGTTTGGTAAATTAGCTGTTAGCTGAAACCTGTTTGGTATAATTTTTTTTTTTCAAAAGTTATTTTGAGAAGTTTTTATTTAATTTTACCACTTTAGAGTTACAAAAAACTGATTACTCAAACACTTATATTATTTTTTTAACCAAATCAAATAAGTCAAAATTGACTGATAAGCTAACTATTTTACCAAACGGGTCTATATTAGTCATGTATTGGGGTTTACACTGCAGAAAACAATTCTCAAGGAAACGAACCTGGCAGATTCCAGGGGTCGTATCTACAAATGTTGGGCAATTCGGAAATGACAGAAGCCGGCAACGACAAGGAGAAGGTTTTACGTTGCAAATACTGAAACACGATCTCTTGCTCCGTCGGCTGAAATCGGAATCCGGGCGGCAGCTTCACCACTTTCCCATCGTCCCTCACGAAGTGTAATCGGAGACGGCCATCCATCTTTCGTACGTCTAGAGAATGTGGGCGTTTAGCTGAAGCTCGGAGGAAATGGTATGGAGTTGAGAGAGGCTTTTATAGCAGCAAATGAAGGTGACGGAGAATTGGAGATGGTGGTTTGGGTCCCAATGGATCATTGATATGACTTCTGTCAATAAAAGGATCTAATCTTTCTGATACAGCTGGAGCTGGGGACATTTAGTATGGATTACTTAAGATTTAAGTTTTTACAACAACACAATAATACTCTCATTATATATATATATATATATATATATATATATATATATATATATATATATATATATATATATATATATATAGGGAAGACATCAGGTGCATTTGTGGCTTCTTTAGCGGTTGTGCGGTGGATTAATGTGCATGAGGTTTATACTTAATGTGAGTGAGATTTGTACTCAATGCGCCTGAGATTTGTACTTAATGTGCGCAATGTTAATATGTGTGAGTTTTGTACTTAATGTGCCTGAGTATTGTGCTTAATATGTGTGAAATTTGTGCTTAATGTGCGTGAGTAGTTCAGAATTACGAGCTCAGAATGAAGCAGAACAGAAAACTCACGCACATTTACGCCCAAGCTTCTTGTTACTTCTTCTTGGCCATGGATTCTCGATTATCAGCTACCTTCAGTGCAGTTGAATGTTTATATAGATGACGCACGCACAGCAAAATTTGCACACCAACTAAGTGTGGATTTCTGTTGTATTATTATCATAATTCTTAACAACCATAGCTGCCTCCGCATCATCATCATCATCAGGGAGGGGGCAATGGCTACTGGGGATGGAGAAAAGCTGACATCCAAATTTTCTGCTGCATTTTACACATTCACGCACATTAAGTACAAATCTCAGGCACATTAAGCACAACACTCGCGCACATTGAGTACAAATCTCACGCACATTAATCATCCGATCCGCACAACCGCACGGGAAGCATTCAACCGCACCGGAACCTTTCACTATATATATATATATATGGAAAAATTGTAAAATATGTCCCTCTATAATATGTCAATTATCAATGTCACCCCTTAATTATGAGTGGTGTAAATATTGCCCCTCAATTAT